ATGAATATTCTGAAATATGAAGCCTCAAATATTCTGTTGACGTTTGGTTTGTTTTTGGTAATAAATATTGTTTAATAATGTTTCTTGCTTACATGTTGTCTTATATCTTTTTGTAGCCATGGGTGGAAAATCGTCAAAAATGACTCCTGAGCGTAAGAAACTCAAAATATTTCAGAAGATTGTTTAGACTCATAAGATTACATCACACATTTATTTCACGAGTGTGAAGGAGAGGGATAAGTATCAAAAGTTGTGAACAAAACCCTGCAGACAGTCAAACCTGCACAAATACATTTGAGAAATGTATAAAGATAAAAAAATAACAGATTCTTAATTTGTGTTGAAATAATATATTTGACGGATATATTACATCAATGTGTGCACTCTGCAGCTTTGATGGAAAAATGGAGGGGCGTATGGGGGTGAGTGGTTTGTTTAATTTATGTTCCCTCTGGTGTTTAATTGCTTTTCTTCAACTAACTATTGTTAAAACCAAAACTGAGCAACTGCAGCACACCTTTGTTGAGACTGCCTCTATTACTGTCATTTTAGTTTGTTTCAGTTTCATGATGGTTTAGTTTGGTGTCTGTGACGACCGTGCAGCAAACACAAAATATGTGCAACATATGGAAAACTGATAATAATGTTGATGTGCATTGTGATCTGAAATGTAATCTTACCTTTTCTTTATTGAACAGCCATAAAAACAAAGACCTGAATTTTGTGAACGATTATCAGCCTTATAACGAAGAAGTCAAACAGCTCAGAGTTCTGCTTTATGGACCTACTGGCGCTGGCAAGTCCAGCTTCCTCAACACCGTCGACAGTGCGTTACAAGGCAGAGTTACTGGTCAAGCTTTGGCGGATAATACAATCACTGGATCGAGCTTCACCAGTAAAGTATGAATCCCTTTTCAGTGTGGTTTAACTAAGGTCATATGTTACTGTAAAACTTCATGACACGTAACAACTCTTTCACCTAGTATTTCCGATTAATTTATTTTTGTGTGCACTTGCAAAGATAATTGCAGTACACAGCTCAGGCAGCAGCTGAGCAAGTAGCCTCATAGACATATTTCAATATGAAGCAATAATGTCATCATATCTGTGCTTTTCTGTTTTACAGCACAGAACTTACCAATTCAATAAAGGAGGACCAGGGACATTTTACCCTTTTGTCTTCACTGACTTGATGGGCCTTGAGAAGGAAACTAAGAAAGGAGTTTGTCTGGAAGACATCAAACTGGCCATGAAGGGGCACATACAAGATGGTTATGAAGTACAGTCCAATTAATTACTGAATTCATTTTAAGTTTTGTTGGATATATTTCAGTAAAACAATCCAGCTTTGTAATTTGTTTTGCATAAAGAATTTTATTTACGTGAAGATACATTTAAGGAACTATTTGCACAAGTTATACTTTGATTCAATTTTACATTATTTTCTAGATCAATCCGTGCTCTAAAATATCAGAGGATAATCAAAACTACAACAAGTACCCCACTCTGAATGACCAAGTTCATGTTGTGGTTTGTGTCATCGCTGCCACCACAGAAAATATACTGAGTGAAGAATCTATGAAACAGATGAGGGATGTCAGACTTGCAGCTAGAGACTTGGGTAAGGTTTAGTTTTTGGGGTTCATTAATTAAATCAAATAACCTGACAAACATTAATCTGATTGAATTGGATCTTTGTATCGGCAGGGATTCCCCAAGTGGCTATTCTCACCAAAATTGATGAAACTTGTCCAGAGGTCAAGGCCGATATAAAGAACGTGTATAAGAGCAGGTACCTGAAGCAAGTGGTATGTTTCTATTTTATGAGTTTGTAGAGTTGTTATTCTAATTGGAATACAATTTTGCTTAACATTTTAAACTTTAAACACAAAAGTCTTTTTTGAGGGTCATTCCTTAAATATGCAATTTTTCCAAATTAGGTGGACAACTTGAGTGCTAAGCTGGGCTTTACACTGACCTGCATCTTTCCTGTGAAAAACTACCACTCAGAGATCAAAACAAATGATGAGGTTGATACACTGATACTGAGCGCACTGAACATGATCATCAACTTGGGAGAAGACTATGTCAACGGCCTGTAGACCTACAAACTGCTGAGGCAAATCTTGCTTTATCTCAGCGTGAAATAAAGTCAGTTTGTGAACAGGATGCAATTAAATAAAGTGGGACTATGGTTTTTTGGTTTTCATTTGTAAACATGTAATGCATATAGTCTCTGCTCTAAATGGTCTTACCTCTACCTAGTTGAATAAAGCATGATAGGCTGTATCACTATTGCTATGCATTTGAGTTTTTGCATTATTATTTTGTTAGCTATGCTTTGTTGATTCAGGTGGTGATTTCTGATGTTACAGTCCCCCAGTAATCATAACACATGTCTAGATTAAAACTGGGCTAAATATGATTGAAAAGTTAAATTTATATCAGACTACTGATTACATATATGATGTATCTATTGTTTTATTTCAATGTTTGGACCTGCTATTGAATCATTGTGCTCATACTGCTGCTCAGGTAAAACTCACAATAAATAACATAAATAATGCAATTTGTATTTAGTCTCCTTTTATTTCCTTCCTTCTCGTCCATACCATACACTAGATTGTCTTGTAATGCAAGTGATCCACGCAGTATTACACAATTTTATGTAATATGTGGTAAGGCATGTAAATTGGGGCATGAATTGACCTCTTATGGTGACAAATACCAATTAAAGTAAAATGATTGTATGAGTAATTTCACTTTGATCCATCAGAGTGCAATCGGAGGTGCTTGTCAATGAAAATGTATAATAAAGCTGTAAGAGACATTGTGTTATTGTTTTTTTGTGTGTACTACCTCCCACCACTTGGGGGCGTAGTGCCGCTGTTAATTAGGCCACAGGTGAATATAATCAGGAGGGTCAGTTGAAACAGGTGTTGCTGAGTAAACAGGAGCAAACAGTTTTTGACCGTGCGACAGTTAATGAATGTAAATGTTATGATTTATTTGGTCTATGTAGAGGAAATCTGAGTCTGGAGTGTTAAAAGGAGATACTCATATATTTTTATTTATATATTTTATATTTGTACTGACCAAATGTGAAAACTTTATGATGTTCTCGTGGCATTTCTTTACAGATTCTCTTTCAGATTATGATTGAGGTATTTTTCTTCTCTTGCTACGCCTTCAACGTCAAATAATCTTACGTTGTTAGCGCGATGTGACGTCATCACGTGATCTGGTCAACAACTCAGCTGTTGTGATGGTGGCTTTACGTACCGTCGGAAATGTTGGAATTACAACTACACCCCGATGAAAAACAAACAAAATGACAAATAGGACAGGAGAGCTCGTGATTATTTATGACCTCCCAGTATATATAATACAAATATTACATTTACTAAAAGCTTTAATACATAGATCAATATAACAAATCATCCGGTGTAGTTTCCTCTCTATTATGTTGGTGTAGGACCAAAAAAATATGTGGGTGCAACACTACTATAATATGGTTCTAAACCAATATGAATTTTATTCCCACAAGATCAAAAATATATTTCTGTACTCGAGGATCTTCGGACTGTTATTTCGGTATTTCAGTGAAACTGGGAAGTACAAGCTTTGGAAAAGCATTTGAAAGCAGCATGGGACAAGTGAGGGGAAAAAAAGAGGAAGAAATCCACGTAGCCTCTCTTGCGTCACAGTCGCACGGCCGTGTAATGTCCTCAATGTATAACGTTACGCTTTTTTGATGAAACGCTGCATGCAATTAAGCCGATAGCGGTGTTCGCAGTGGCGGGGTAACGCGGAACAACCCACATCGGTCCCGTTTGCTGAAAGGGAGGAGAGAGGACTATAAAATGGAGCTGGAAGACGGAGTTGTGTACCAGGACGACCCGGGGACATCAGCGATGATGTCTGAGCGGGTATCGGGCCTGGCCAACTCCATCTACCGCGAGTTCGAGAGGCTCATCGGTAAATACGACGAGGATGTGGTGAAGGAGCTGATGCCGCTGGTCGTGGCGGTGCTGGAGAACCTGGACTCGGTGTTCGCGGAGAACCAGGAGCACGAAGTGGAGCTGGAGCTGCTGAAGGAGGACAACGAGCAGCTCATCACCCAGTACGAGCGGGAGAAAGCGCTGAGGAAACATGCAGAAGAGGTGAGTTGAATGGAGCTGGGAAAAAAACACAAAAAAACGGGATGGTCACCGGCATCCTCGTGAGGAGGACCGAGGGCTGCCTCAGGTGTTTTGCCCTCCCAGCATCCCTTTGCATGACTTAACCTGTGCACGTGGCCGGGGCAGCATCCTGCCCGTCCTGCCACGGAGCTCGTTGGGGATGTAAACAAGGCAGTGTCAGGGCTAACGTCAGGCTGAATTGGCCCTCTCTTTGTATTCGCTGGGTGGTCAGTGACACTCGAATCCAAGGATGGGACTTCTTACCCACTGCTTCAACGAAAGCATCTTTCTCTGTCAAACCCATCTACAGCCATCAGCTCACCTATTGCATCAGATAGTGAAGTCACTGTCTGAGCCCTGTGAGACCCTCACTGAGTAAACAGCAGGTGATGTGACTCAGCGTTTTGGGGCATCACTGTAACATAAGTTTAAAAAAACCCACAGGGATAAGAGGATGGAGACAGACAAGCAGTCAGATTACATATGTGCTTGTACTGTCATAGGACTCGCTACAAGCATCCAACCACAGCTTTACCCAAATTATACCTTATGATGCTCATATTACTGTATTTAGGGTCCTCCACTAGCTGACCTTCACCACTGTGCAACGCACGTAAGATATTAACCTTTAATATGGTCCAACTCACTTTGATTTGTAAAATCTGTGGAGTTGTCCTTTTTAAATGAACAAATGTGAAATCAAGTCAGCATTTGCTGCTACACAAAGTTTGATTAAGCAACCAAATAGGTGAAAAACTGTCACTCGTTGATCAGACATTGCCAACAAACATGACCCCCTGTGTGTGTGTGTGCAGGCATGTCTCAGGGATCTTGTGTATTGCCTAAGATGTGTGTGGTTTTAATTGTGTGAATCTGCCTCCTGGCCATGAGCTTTTGAATTGAAGGGAAACGTGATGAGACTCGGACCGTCTGTCCCAGCTTGCATTTTTTTGACTCGGGGCTTCGGGACAGCAGGGACACTGGCCCCAGTACGCTGTGGACACGTAGACCCCTCTGCACACACATTGACAGTGAAGCGGTGTGACAGCCAGGCACACATAAACACTCACACACACGCTGCACACTGACAATACTCCTGTATCCTTCACTGTTATAGTAACATATCATGTCAACTGTACAGTAAATATGTGTACGGGATTGTCCTGGAAAGGAAGAGAAGCTTGTCCCCTCCCCTGAGGAGTAGTGAGCAGCGATACGCTGAGTCTGATGGAGAGGCATGGTATAACTTCCAGGTCATGTGATCCTTTGTCACACACAAGCAGAAAGGGAACTTCCACCAGCTTGCGTTTTTGCTTCCTTTCCCTTTTTTTTTAGTGCCTGGACTTAGTAGTGAAGTCACCTTTCTTCTTCCAGAGGAAATAGATTTTGGTTTTTAGACCTTTTGCTTGCTTGGCCATCGATTGCTTTTTAAATCATGATCAAGATTTCACACAGACACAAAATAGATGGTATCATCATCCTCCCGGCTCTGTTATTGCAACCCTGTTTCCTCCGATCTCTGACGTAATTTGGAGACAAAGACATGAAGTTAAACAGTGTAAATTACTTATGATATTAATGACCGACATTACATTGATTTTGATTAAGTCTGAGGAATCTAGCCAGCTGCTCAGATCATTAAAACTAATTCGCAGCCTTCTACAGTTTCTCATTGGTTTCTCTCTCACATGTATCCAGACCATCAATCTGCACACATTACCAGTTATCATCTTCATCACTTTGCCTCATTTATATATTTTCTTATATGTAAATACCTGCAGTAAAGTATGACCATAGGATGGCCGCTGTTGAGATTTCTTACATACACTTTCAGCTCTACATTGCTTAATTATTTATTTATTTATTTGAGCAAATGTTTTTTGCACAGTTGTTGAACATATGAATTGGGCAACCCTGAGTGCTACATACAAATACGATGAATTTAATCTGGAGATAATTTGTCATTTAGTCCGAACAAAATATGTTTTAGTTTTTCAGTCATATAGCTCAAAAATATCAGGCTGCCGAGCAGGCTGTGACATGCCTTTGTACATCAAGCTGTAAATAGGACTCATGCATCCAGAGGAAGAGGAAGGGCAGCCACATTAGGGCCTTGGCTTGCTCCGCTGGACAGGATGTGGATGCTGACACATGCTCAGAGGCCCGCCGAGAAGGAAACTGGGAGGAATGGGAATTTCCGAATGAACCCTTAAGTCAAAATCCTGCTCCTCTAATCCCGATTTAGTCTTGTATTTGTTTACATCCACGCCATCATTGTACATGTTCTGGAAAGTTACGCCGTCACACATGTCATCTGTGATATTATGTAATGCACTGTGTATACGGCTGCAACTATTATTTCCATTATTGATCAATCTGTGGATATGTTTTAATTCATCAAATGTTTCTATGAAATGTAGTCGGGGGGGGGGGGGGGGGGGGGG